CCAAAAATATTTTCAACACATAATTAGTGATCGATGATGGATATAGGTTTACAAGAATTAAATTTAAAACATAAATAAATAAGTATAATATGGTGAGTATTTTTGTGGATATTTTTTTTTTTGGATTTTAATGAATTTTAAATTTTGAACTGAATTAGACTTAAAATGTTTAATTAGGTTCTGAAATTATATGAAATTATAGTATGGAAAAAATAGTACGCATACAGTATAATGGTTTAAAATTACAATTCATTAACGTGATATCGTAATCACATTTAGCTTCAAAAGTATTAAACTTGTAATGAAATAATAAACAAAATTATTTAATTGGGTAGACTTGAATGTTAGATACTCGTATTTATTAGATAAATAATTAAAGTCAATAAAATAAAATTGCTTACATAAATATAATGGGTTATGCAATCTTTAATATTTGTGTATTATAATACTTATTTATTTGGTGTTCTATGTAACTTGAAAAAGAAATTACCAATACAATAATTCATTGATGATGTACTTCAATGCGGAGCACAAGTTTCACAAGTTTTGTTTGAATTTCAAAGTTCATTAGGTTTGAAATTTTGAAAAGCTCAAAACAATCACAACGATACGGTATAAATTATAGGTTATACATATTAAATTTTAATAAATAATATTTTATGATTGTTGACTGTCTATATAGTTATATAACTAATAAGATATATCAAAACATAGTTGAGAACAGCAATGGTTCAAATTAGCTTAATTCTTTATACATCTTCAACATTTAAAATCAGTTGTCATAAATATTAATAACAAAGACATCATATTGAATAATTTAATGAAAAAAAATACAGTAATAATCTTACAATTCAAGTAGTAAATACAAAATATACCTATAATATTTACTAAGGCAAATAAATAAATTGAAAATTCACAATATTTTTTTATATTTATATTTTGTTTGTACTACTATTGATACTATTAATGTGATGTTTCTTTCATTTTACTAGGACGTAAACAAATCTAATTTTTTTTAAATTATCTAATATAAAAATTGTTTTCGCTTTTTTATAAAGAAAAAAAATATAACATTAAATCTTTAAAATAAACACCTTCTAAAAATAAAATATATCATATAGGTAAAAATTGAACCGTCGTCACTCGTCAAATGCCAATATTCAAATGAATTTAAATTCTAAATATGAGAAATACAATGTTTAATTTATTGGTCTTAGACATAATAATATTATCATTAGTCATTAAAACACGCGGTAGTATAGCCAAATACAGGTAACAGGCTGTAGAATGAGTTGCGGGTAGTGTCATAATGACAATTGTTACTGAGATCAGTAATAAAATTTTTCGAAAATGTGCAATGTACATACTACATATTAACATATTAATAAGAATGGTTATAATAATTGTAATATTCTTACAATAGGCACGAATCGTAAAATGTATATTAATATATTATAATAACTTTTGAATGTTGAATTAAATTGTTGACCATTTGCAGCATTATTTTTAACTATTTCTGTTGCTCCAAACGATGTCATTTGGAAACATGAATTGAATGTTCGAATTGACTTCAGGAACATGTTAGAATCTGGATTCGTACCGATAAGTAGCCGGTTCAATGGTTCAGATGGTGTTTCAATTTCCGGTAGTTGCACTTTTCCTGACGCGCAACACATACCAGCTGGCTCATTTTTGAACTTATGCGCATTACAATGCGGACATTCCTTGTCCATAGCACCAAAAACTACTTTCGAATGAGCGTAATATTTAATATCGGGCCCATACTCGAATGCTAGACGAAGGAATGAATTGGATGTAAATGCTCTATGTACTTGTTGGCGTTGTCGGTTATTTGCTCTGCGTGTGTCAACTACGAATTGACGCACTTCTAATCGTCTTTTTTGATTTTGTGCAGCTTGTGCCTCACGCAATCGCACCATGTTCACATGTACATTTTCATTATTCGGTTGTGCTCTTCTATCTCGCATGATTGTACTTTTGGTCGTTCGACGGGCCAAATCAGACCCCTTGCGTCTTGCTGGCATTGTACAAAATACACAAATCGATACAATTACAGTTCATATATGTTCATATTCTTATAGATGAGAGAGAAAGCTTATTGTGTTAGACCGACCCATTCTACAGTCGAGTCGAACGATAATTCGTTAAATACGACAAATACGCGGTTTCATATTATGAAAGAGATGAAACGTGCTCTACGTAAATATACAATTATGGTTCCCTATGGCAACAACTGTTGTATGTTATTTTTATATTTTATTTTTATTTTTCCATCTACGTTATCAACAGTTATTAAATATTTGTGGTGGCCACCTTTACACCTAGGGTATGAAAAATGGTTTACATCACTTGCTGGGACTCTTAATATACATAAGGGCTATGAAAATCGGTGTGTGTTTGGAGAATTGGTAACAAGTTTGTGAGCCGAATTTTGCTCTGCGAGTGGGTGTAATTAATAATTCAATATTTTCTACATGGCCACTCTGCTGGCTATGAACTGTTGCATAGTATTTTTAATCGTTGAGATTAAAGTGGTGTTGGTACAGATCTGAATGATCGATAATATTTTCTGGTCATTCATTGATAAACGATGTATCGCGCGACGCTGAACAATTCTGAACGCATTTTATACCCCCTTGCCGATCTATCCACGATGGTCCCTCTATACGCCGCCGGGCCGTAGTGTCAAAGTGATCATCGTTCTTAATTTGGGTTGGTGTTGCGCGTAGAAATTTATTGTGTGAGCTCTTTGTTGGGTCTGAGACATTTCGGCTCCGGCCAGGCTAAACGGCCGTTTCCTTTGCAACTGTTTCGGCGCTGGGTGCTATCGGCGCACTGAACTGGCGCGAAATTTCGGCGCGGCATTTTAAGTCAACTATTACTATTATGAAAAATTATCTTAATAAAATCGTCAATAGTGCAATCCTACCAAAATATAGCTGTTGGCATCGTGTAACGTAGAACCAACTATATGTCTATGGTGAATAAAGTATAGGTTATTAACCCACAGCGTTGGAATATAGTGACGATTATGTACCGCGTAGTGTGAACTAAAGCAATCAGTTCTGGACCTGTCATCGCGTGCTGCACAAAAATTTATACTTGTTAAAATGTCTAATTATTATCGAACCGCGGACGTGAAATTTTGTACAGACGGTTTCATGTATATTTTCGACAAATTTGTTTTAACCGTACAACAATTTTGGAGGTATGCTAATAAAGATATGTGTAATTATCGGTCATACGAATCGACAGTTACTACTATACAAAAATTAACGACCACACTCATGATTCTGAAGCGGCTAAATAAGTAGGGGCTGCAATTACAAAAGTAAAACGTGCACTTCAATAATGAATTACATCGATTGTAATAAACGAATGTGTTGGACCTTTATCAAGCAGCTAAAGTAAGTACAAATTCAGACAGCTTTTGTTTTACTAGGCCCGTTAATTTAATTTAGGAACGATAATGTAGCAGTTTAGCATATAAAGCTAATTAAAAATTATTATATTATACATATA